ACCTTGTAATAGCTTTAGAAAAGAATACCGTATAGAATTAATATTTGCATATTGTTTGTTTCACACATTTATTTAAATACAAATTGACACTAATACTACTAGTCTTCACCATAATAATACATTATCATAAATAAGCTAAAATTGAACTTTCCCAGAAAAATAAAACTTTAATTGTTAAATTTAAATAAAATCAAAGCTTCCACATTTCTTTTAGTCGGAACAATTTCCCATCTTTAGAGAAACATGACATACGGTTACGTCAATAAAGGAAGCAAACAAAACCAATTAAACTTCAAACAAGTTCCGCACAGTTAGCTGTAAAACAGCGTTAATGATACAATAAAAAACACAACTTACCCGATAAAGGGAGAAACAAAACAAATATAAGCCACCGCTGGCCGGACTTCATCTTGAATTTCGCCATTTATCCAAATATTTGGGTCATTTTCTCCCCTTGGAGAGCCGTCGGTCCCCCGCGTGCGGTCCGCTGCTCCGCTCTATCCCTTCTGCCAACAGCGGAGCACCAACGGCTCTGATGGGGGAGAACAGGAGGGTGGCCCCGCCCTCTCGCACATGCGCAGAAGATTCAAAACAGAGGGATTCCACATGGATCCGTCTATCTATCTCGAATCTGTTACAAGATTTAAACTGCTGGTTAAGACAAATTCCTTCCACCAAACATGAGCAAAAAAAGGAATGGAAAATTGTGTGTGCAACACTGATATGGAAACAGCTTAAAGGATGACACTTTTTTCCTTCAGTGAGCTTTTTGTTGGTCATTTTACAACAGACTTTTAATGTCATTGTACATTTGTTTGTAAAAACAGGCAAACATCACTTCAGATGATCTTTAAAAGATTACAAAAGATTATTGATATTTTAAAACAATATTTGGGGCTTTGACTTGTTTTTAAACATTGTTATCCATTGGTACTGTGTGACCAGTTGAAGGGTATTATCAATAATTACTCATTGACATTTTCAAATGTAAAATTTAGAAATGTTGGGAAAAAAACTAGATGTTTAAGTGAAAAAGTAAAAAGGTTTCCTACAGTCTGGTCTGAAACTCTAATAATGTATAAATTAGTCAATGTTAAACCATTTATTTGCACTTTTGAGGATTTTGGCTTCAATAAATCATACTCAAAATTGTGCAGCCTCCCTTAGAGAAGCTGGTGGAGTAGCATACTAGCAAGGATATGTGCTAACAGTACGGTTCTCAAACTGGGGGCACAGGTACCATTGCTGGCACTTGAATTGTATTTAGCAGTATTTAAAGTGAAGATTTGGTATGGACTGTTTAAATATTAGCATGACTAGTTAAAAAGACAGCTTGTTCATGCACACAGATTTTTTTTCTGTGTGCAATATCCAAAGTGACCAATAGGAACATGATCTTACAATAAATATGTGTTACACTTACCTCCAATGTCAGAACTTGGGCATAGAAATGACATCTTTGCTAGTTTTTCAGCTGAATAACCAGGCTGGCTACAGATTCAAAGACAACAGCAACAAGCTCACCAACATAAATGTGCAGTCCTACTATTTTTGAGTGACTTAATGAGATACAAACTGACAGAAACACAAATAAACTGTTAATTTCTACAAAAACATGTATCTGATGTAAACATGTGGCAGTCATTTTAGATTTTGAGGTTAAGGTTAGTAAAAAAGAAAAAAAAAAGAAGACATCCAACTTTCAGGGGTACTTTTCCATCTTGATTTAATCACTATCTGCTGTTACCAAGGCTTAATTTCAGATGATTATTTTTATTAGTAGGTACTTGAAAACACAAACTAACAGACTGCCTAGAATCATACAGAAGAGTAAGCATTTTTTGTTGTTGTTTGACCTAAACATTGAGTTCATGCCATAGGAGCATACCTACTTTAAGTGCATAAAGAAAGTAAAATTAAACTTTTTGCTTTATTAGATACAGTTCTTCAATTTTTCCAAATAATTTGTGTGCATCCTAATCAGTTTTGATAACTCAAGTACATGTCATGTTGTACCATGCAGCCTTTGGCCAAACTGAACTGGAATGGATTGAATTTTTGAACATAGATCTGAAATGCCTTCTATAGTAAGCAGTGTGTTACAGATATTACCAATAAAGCTGCTTATATAAATATCTGATTTTGAGTCACACAGCACATAGCTTGATTGGATTGTGATCTCTATGTTGTAGATTTTTTGCACATCTAATTTCAGTGAGCAAAGTGAATTATCAGCTACCAGAACCTACAAAGGTCTGCATTGCATCTGCTCGCTTATGCTGCACAACCTGGTAATTATGAAGAGATATTGATAGCTGGAGGTCAGCTGCTTAATGAATTCAGATATTGATCCAGCGACCGTGCCTTTTGACAATGACCCTCCTCTTTCAGAGGCCTCATTCAGTAGCATTACAATGGGAACCAGCTGGGAGCTCAGCCATGCTGCATCAGCAAAACACCAGCACACTGCTACAGGTAAATAAAGTCCTCACTCCCATACCTCATATTACATATACCACACTGCTGTTGTCAAAAATATCCCTAAATTATTTGGACAGATTGTAGCTCCAGGCCTGTACGTTCAAGATTCAATATGCAATCAAATGAGAAGAGCAGAGTTTAATTATATATTGATTAGAGCGGGGTATTGATTTAATCATCCTAAGCCTTATAGTTATAATTTAAGGCTCCAAAACTGGTTGTCAGGGTGATAGCATTTGTTAATGTGCTTAGTCAGTGGTTAAGATTTTGTAATGATTTTGTCAAAGATTTTATACTCTGACAAATAATTATTTTAAAAAATCCTATTGCAATTAGCTTATTTTCAATGCATGTGTGTTAACTAGCACATGGATACCTCATTATCAAAAAAGCAAATGCTTAATTTTTCTAAAAACACATCCACATACAGCTCTGGAAAAAATTAAAATACCACTTTTAATGATCAGTTTCTCTGAATTCACTTTTTACAGCTGTATGTTTGAGTGAAATGAACATTGTTCTTTTCTTTTATGATTTCTTTTATGACCTATACTGACAACATGTCTCCAGAATTACAAGCAAAAATTTAAAATTTATTTACAAAAAATGAGAAATGGTCAAAATAAGGAAAAAGATGCAGTGCTTTCAGACCTTAAATAATGCAAAGAAGACAAGTTCATGTTCCTTTAGAAACAACAATACTAATGTTTTACCTCAGGAAGAAATATGTGGTGGAATAACCTGGAGGTTTTTAATGGGGTTCACTGCAGTGGGCTCTTCATTTTTCCACAGCTGTATATTGTTTTATTCTGTTTTTGACTCAGAAAACAGCACATGCCTTTGTAGTTGCTTCACCTCACAACTAGATTGTGTGATTATTGACACACAGAAATTAGAAAATTTGACAAAGCCATAAAAGTTCCCTGAATCAGATGGCTAAACCTCGGCTGAGGTCCACATGGCAGAAGGTCCGGCTGTTCGGCCACAATCAATAGGGTTAAGGTCATTAGCATGTTATGAATACCGCAAGGCCCTGGGAAAGCAGAGCAGAGGGCCTGCTAGCTTGCCTCTGATTGGCCAGGGCTCGTCTTTAGGAGATGACCTCTAACCTTAGCTTAAGAAGGACATGGAAAGGTTTTAGGACTTTGCATAATTTTGACTGGGCAAAATTTTAAATGTGTGTTGTTTTCCTTAAATCAAACGAATATTTGTATTGGAACATTGTAATGAAAACAGATAGTGTTACAGCAACCTCTATATTTGTAGAGAGCCATGATAAATATGTAATCTGATTGAAAACATTCAAATCAACCTTGAAATTGAGTATATTCATGCAGACTGGGTAAAAAAAAAAAGAGAAACAAGCAAAAAAAACATGTAAAAAAGGTAATTGCCAAACTTATTGGCACCTTTAATAATTCTTTAGAAATAAGTTTACCTTAAGTATTTTTAAAATTCATACATTCCAAGTTAATATTTTGTGTCCACAAAGTTTTATTTTATGATCCATGACAATGTGTTTTTTGGTATAGACATTTACACTGGCCACACAAATGAGAAAGACTAGAGAACATGACAAGATTTTCCATTACATTTTGTAATATCTGGAAGAAAACAGCCACTTACTTCAACTTCCAGTCAAGATAATAATCACCAAGTCTTCATAGCTTCATACTTATTGGACACTATCAACTGGTTGTTTAGAAAGTAAGCCAGAAATATATTTTTTTATCTTACCGTCACAAACATTAGCATGTGCTACACTCTACTGGGAATCATGTGCTTTAAAAGAGGCAAAGACTGACCTCTCCAGCAACAAATACACCAGGTAGATTTTGATGTCATAGCTTATTTCTCTCCTAAAGTTCCAGTGAACTTTAGTGAACTTTCAGCATCCAGGACATTTTGAAAAACATCCAGGTTTCCAAAACGTCAGTGATCAAAGACGGCCAAATCAACAGAAACATCTCAACACTCAAACAAATTAACCATCTTCCATTGGTAACTGATCCTAAAAAGTATAGAAAACCTCTGAGCTGAACTGAAGAGAGGAAAGCAGATGAGCCAGAAGTCTGGATGACAGGGGAGAAAGGTAAACACAGCCAGCGTCTCTTTGAATGATGCAACCCTGTGAAATATGATAGAGGAGTATCAATTGCAAAGATACCAATAAGTAATTTGGTTAAAAAGATAGCTGAATGAATGTCTTAAATTCAAAGCTTTTCTACATTTTTCAGTGTTGCTTTAATAAAAGATTAATTCAATTTGCAAAATACCGAAACAACAAAGTTTCTATTTTTAGTAAACCATAATAAAAGACATTATAACTTCAAAACATATTAACAAAATTTTTGCATAGGTTAATGAATTTAATGAATTCAATTAATGAAGTAACTAATAATCAGAATGTTTTACAGACTTATGTTTCCCTTTATTGAAAATTCAAGTTGCATTTATAGTCTTTAATAGGATGAAAAGCCTCAAATTTTAAATAATCACCACTTAAACAGAGCCCAACGTTCTTTAAAAAAGTTTATTGGCTTTTAAAACCACTTTAAAAATCTCACCAGTGAGTACTTTCCATTGAAAAAGAAACAACGCGTTTGCAATATTAACAAGCTACTGTACATTAAGCAGAACACCAGACAACAACACAGAGGAGGGTTGATTTTTTTCTTCTTCTTCTACTGGTAGAAACGGACACGATAGTCAAACAGGGTCGGGTCAGTAAAAGGTAAAGAGTCAAGAGTCACTGCTTGATGGAGCTGCTGTAATCATAAAGAGGTGCATTTCCTTCATTTAAAGTCAAATATCAGTGCTATGTTGTTAAAGAAGGTAATTAAGAGAAAACATGTTTCTTCACAAATGCATTTATCAAAATAGGAAAATGTCAAATTGAAAAAACTCCAGAAAAAATAGAACATTAACTTAGTAAACAGCACAGTCACACGTAATAAAAATAATAATAATAATATTAATAATAATAATAAAAAAACGTGAAGTAACTCATGAAACTAGCACTGCCAGTCTGGTTAACAGAACCTGCCTACATCACAGAAGACAGTGGTTACCAAGAATATACAACAGAAGTCATCACACATGCATGTATACAATCATTTATCAACATAATGAGCATGTAGGTTTTAAAAGGTTATTCTAGCTTTTTTTTCCCCCCCTCAATGCTTTGTATTCTCATGTATGAGAACGAGTAAGAAACGTGTATCTCACTGAGATTAATGCACATTTTGCTACAAGACAATTAGTCATTTTCTGACAATCCACTTATTTTCCTTACTCATCTTGTCATAAAAAATATTTTTCTTTCCTTTTATTCTTTTTCTAAGCGGGCACCCATCATAATTTATCATTTTTGTCCATAAAGGTGTGACAAAGCCATGTGTCGTAAAAATTTAGTGCAATAACGTGAACCTCCAAAGTTTGTTGAAACTTTTTTTTGTTGTTTTTTTTCTCCAGTGTCTGCTGACGAACTTTGAGCACAATGTCACAGAGAAGTCTGCAACCAGCTAACAGTATCACAACTTTTTTTTTCTTAATATACCATGCTAATGATCCTGCTCACAGCACACATCACTTCTGCAACTGCAGAGACCTATTTATCTTTGAGTATAAAAACCAAAATTAATAATAAAAATAGTCAAATAAAATCAGCAAGCGAGACCAGACAGCATTACTGTTACGACACATTGAGCCAGAAATGTAACACACAACATACAGTATCTTGCCAACTATAAATCTGTTAAGCTTCTTCTTTTTTCTTTTCAATGGCACATACTTAGCTAGGATAATGGCCATAATATAGTGTCTGGATACACCAAATCTCTATGTATCTATTGTATTTACAGATGGAGCTTAAACATGACTTTTACAACATTGACAATATAGCCAAAAAACTGAAGCAAGCATCCTACTGTATCACAGAGCCTACCTGGCTAGCAGTGATGGTTTCAACATGCTTTCAGGTCCATGGTTACCTATAAAACATAGGACAGTGACCATTTCACTATTTTACAAACTGTACAGAAGATTCAACTTAAGCCTTAACTCTTAAATCTCTGATGCTGCCCCGCTCTCCTGTTGTGTCGTGGATGCTAAACGCGGAGTGTTTCTGTGTGGAATAATCTCTTACGATTCTTGGAACGGGTTGTCTTTGGCATGAAAATGAGGCCTGGATCTGCACAAACATTATTTCCGTGAAGCTCATGCAAGAACCTGTCGGTCCTCCTGGTTTTGCAAAACCTTCTCCATGCCGTTGAAATTCTCTAGCCTGGGAGTGCAAAAATAAAAAAACTAAAAACATCTCACAATTGAAAGGACAGCGTGGCAATTTTTGTTCCCACCAATAAGGTTGTAGCCAATACCTTATGGAGTTGGTTCTTCGGTTCAAACCCACCAGTTGCCGATTCATCGCTTCTTTCTACTGTTTCGCACCCGTAAACAAACCAGTCCACACGTAAATCTTTGCATATTCGTTCATTTTTGTTGCTAGTGAAGGTTTTTTTTTTAATGAATTATGGAAATGCTCGTAGAAATCTCAGCCTATTCCCATTTACTTTATTTCTGATTCCTGTTTGGACCAGATGACGCTTATGAAACATGGCAACAAACATGAACCCTGATCGAACTGAAATGACTAAAGGTTTGTTTCAAATACAGCAACCTTTTCCAGGAACAGCACAGTTTTCTGGGACCATTTTTTAACCCTCATCATTTCCTCTTCAGGAACCAGAACCAAATCCAACCGCCACGGTAGAAATTCACCCCAGAAAACGGCCCTTTTGGTGAAAATTCATGGTGGAGCTGCGTGGTGAGAGATTCCTAAACATTTCTGATTTTTTTATTTTTATTCTCCAAGCATTTTATCCACTTATTAGTGTGCACATAATTTACATAAACAGCACGGATTTCCATCATGCTGTCAAAATGTATGCTACAAACAGATATGAAAGGGCCCAGGAAATTAAATTCTGGAGAGAAGTGGGCTAAGAAGAGTTTACTTCCAACAACCTCCTGCTGGAAGATAGAATTTAATACAGTCACAAAACCAAATGGGCAGTCAGACTTTAAAGGAGCATTCTGATTGTTTTCTCCCAGAATAAATTTTTTATAGGACTATTTTTTCCACCCAAGCCGTTTCTGGAATGCATTTCCAATGTGAGAGTCCAAATCAGTGCAGTTCATGCACATTACAAATGCTGACTGTGAGTGGGAATGTCTTTCTACTGCAGGAGTGTTGACCAAGATCCTGTTCAGAAGCTGAATGCGAGACAGACTCTCTCCTGTTGCAAAAATAAAAGCATCAGGAGCTTTTATTTCTGCTGATTTTCAGCTATTTCTGCTCTACTAAAATCACTTCAAAGTCAGATAAAATTTTAAATTTCTTAGATAATTAATAATTTAAGTCTGAGAAACATGTTGCAGATGGCCATTAGCAGTGCCTCATTACATGTCTTTATCTTTGCGTTGTAGCTTAAAAGGATTAAAACACTAAAATAGTCCCGTGGCAAGAAGGATTGTTTTGAAATTGCTTTAAAATGGGCCCAGAAAACAACACTGAGTCCTGAAAAACGTTCCTGAAGTCAAAAGGAACTTTGAAATTGTTACATTTCACCCATTCTGGACGTCCTTTACATTAAACACAGTTTTGCACCTTACAACATTCACTGCACCCCACATACGGCCAGGGTAATATAAAAGGCTCCAGGTAGAAAAAGGTTCAGGGTGGCATACTGAAACGCAGCTTAAGCAATAGTATTTTTTGCTGTTACATAACCAAATACAAACTATAAGGAGATCATGGAAAATCACTTTAACTCTTCAGTTGTCAAATAGGGTAGGAAACGCCCTCCTAGCAGGTACAAATTGGTACCATGGCTGGTATGAAATGCCACCAACAGCTCCACTTCATTCCCAAGAAACATCTAAAAAAAAAAAGGTATGAAAAATGGGAATGAGCAGCACCCGTCTATCTTGTAACAATGCAAAACAAGAACAGAGAAAGGAACTTAAAATATGAGAGTAACAGCTGCCGTGAAAGGATGAAGCTCTGGATATCTTAACATTATACTATATACAGTTCATCTAACAATGGCGTAAGGCCTTAAACTTTGGGAATAAGGCAGCCAAGTTGTTGATTTTTTTCAATAAATACTCCACAAAGTGGCCTGCATCTCCATCTTCTCCCTAATGACCCACAATCTCCCTTTTTTTTGAAGATAATAAACAGTACAAGAAGTATAGGCTTTGAGAGGTTTCACACATGAATCAGTTTTTCACTGATGTTGGTTTATGATAAAAGTATAAAGATTATGTCAGAAATTCAGCACCTGGCAGCTAAAGATGCTGCCCTTTTTATATTTTTTTTGATATGGCAGGCAAACGTACTACAACTTTTATGTGCATATACCACGATAACCAATATTGTCTCCATTTGGTTGAACTTGAACTGCACACGTTAAAAGGAGAATATGCTTTTTTCTTTTTTTGGTGAACTCTCGTGTGCCAGATTTGCGAAGCATTTCCTATTCCTTTGTTGTTCGTAAAGTATAAATATTGCATTAATAAAGATTACCCTTCAAAGCGCACATATCTGCTCTTTGTTTGTCGGTGCATGCTGCCACAGAGTGTTCGCACCCTTCTCTTGAAATGCTAACATTTTAGATCTCAGATGAGGGAGAAAAGTGAGCAAAATACTGAAATATTGTTGACAAATGATGAGGGAGGGAAGAAAGGTGGCGGGAGATTGCTCTGGCAAGCATGGCACTTTGAACAGAACAAACGGCCAAAGTCCAGACAAACTCCGACAAACGATGGGTTAAAAACAGATATATACATGTGCACCAAACTGAACAAACAGAGAACATAAATCATACAGAGTAGAAGAGAACGTTAACCCAGCATCTCCACGGTAGTAGGCTGGTCTTTGCTCTCTAGCCACTCAAAACCAGAATTCACAGTATCACTGCATATCTGCTGGAAAAGTGGGTCGTTCTTTAGTTCTTCCAGTGTCGAGTCTTCGTACTGCTCCTGCTGCTGATTGGGGTCAAACAGCAAGTTGGCGTCCAACGTGTTAAGGTCAGTGATGCTACTGGACAGATCTGAGGTCAGTCTGATGTCGCTGGAGAAGTCGGACGCCACTGCGTTGAGCTCCGAGGCGACCTGACCCACCAGTTGGGAGCTGGGATTGAGTCCGTCCTCGCCCAGCAAGTCCTTGACAGTGTTGTTGAAATCGAGTTGCTGCTGTTCGTCCTCCGCCTCCTGCTGCTGCTGCTGTGTGCTCTGGAGGAGGAGCTGCGGTTGTGTCTGCGCGGGATCTTCTCGGAGCTGCTGCTGCTGCTGCTGGTGCTGGTCTTGCTCACTGGGACCTGCTTGTGCTTGAGTGTCCCCAGCTGTGAGGTAGCCATGCTGCTGGAGCTCGAAGGCAGCAGGGCTGGAGCTGACGGGCAGCTGATTCTGGGACGCGGTTCCTCCCGAGAAGCTCGGAGCCGTCTCTAGAATCTGGGTGAGGTTCATGCGGGCCGTGTAATTAGAGGGGAGGTTGTTGATGCCCAGACCACGGACGGAGTCATCTCCGTCTGCTTCCATCTTGCTGAGGAGGACGCTGGTGATCTTGGCGGTGTTGCTCTGACCCTGCACAGGCAGCATCTCGCTCTGCATCATGATGTTCAGAGGCACGGACTGGCTGCGCTGCACCATGCTGTGCACAGAGCTGACAGTCTGGCTGTTGGACAGGATGCTGAGCACTTCTGAGGTTATGGGGGAGTTAAAGGGCGAGACCACGGCTCGAGTCGTTGTTGTGGTGCTCGTGGTGGTGGCCGGGGGGTTGGCATTACCGCTGAAGTTCCTCTGCCGCACAGCGGGACTAACGCTGCGGCAGCGGAAAGTGTTGGACGCCGTAGAGGCTGAAGCCTTGTTGTCTAGCGGTGCAGGTACGGCGAAGCTCTCCTGCTTGGTGGGAGTCGTTACACCACTTGCCTGCTGCTGCTGTGTTTGCTGCTGCTGCTGCACTGGAGAAATTGGAGTAATGCGTCCAAAGTGAGCGCCGTCTTGCCTCGCCTGAGACTGGAACGACTGGCCAGGAATTGCAAATGCGTGAGGTTTGCGAAACTGATCATCCACCAGGTCTTGGTAGCTCGGCAGAATGCCGATGCTGTGGTTAGACAGAGGTCCGGCAGAGTTACTGTTGTAACGGTTGTTGATCCACTCCAGCTTGGCCTTGTCAGGGTGCGTCGCCATGGGCCTTTGCATGGGTTTGACAGGGCTGCTGGAGACGATGCTCGCGTCATGATATCCCGTGATGCTCGAGTTTATGGGAGTGAAAGCAAAAGGATTCCTGCACTCCACGGGGCTTGGCGGCACGCTGCTGCTGCAGTTGGACAGCGGCGTGCTAATTGGGGTGTGCCGGCCCATTGCTCCGTCTACGGGGGTGACGGGAGCCATTCGGGAGCAGGGGCTCTCTCGGGTCAGGCTGTGCGCGAGCGTCATCTCAGAAGTGGGAGTTGGCGTCGGGGTGGGTGTCGGAGTCGGGGTGGGAGTCTGAACAGGGGTGGTGCTGCTGTGAGTCGAGTGGTAAAAGGTCGAACTGGTTTGATGGGCGGCGAGGATGGAGCCCTGACCGCCGGCCGACTGACCCTGCAACCCGGACACGTCAACACAGTTCCCAAAGAGGCCCTTCAGCTTCATCTGCTCCTCCATCTGGACCAGCTCCTCCACGATGCTGTCCTGCGTCATATCGTCATCGTTGAACGAGAAGTAGTCCATGTTCGACTGAGAACTGGCAAAGTCGACCATCTGCGTGAGGGTGAGCTGGCCCGAGGCATCGGACGGTTGAGCCATCATGGAGAGCTGGTCAGCGGGAGCCTGTTTGTGTTCTGCTGGTATCTGCTGAGTCTCCCATATTGTGCTCTTTAAATCGCTCACAGAGGCTTCGTGTGGTCCTGAGTTGGCCGTAACGGCACGAGGGTCCCCGGTGATCTGCTGCAGCAGCGCCTGGTCGGACGCGTTGCTTCCTGCTGGTCCGGCAGAGGGATCCACAGCGATGGAATGGTCCTCGTGTTTTGAATCTTGCTGTTTCGCGGCAGTCTGCGTTCCCTCGGTGTGCGTGAGAGGTGCGTCTGTAAGTGCAAGGATCTGATTGGGCCCCAACGCCGTGTGTTTGGCAATCCCTTTGCAGGGGGCACTCTCTGGTCTCGCAGGGGTTCCTGGTCTGGGAATTCTCTTCATTGCAGTGTTCAACCCAGGTTTGGGATTGTCAATGACAGCAACCGGTTGCTGGGAGATAAAGACCCTCTTGACAGGAATAACGTGGGATTCCCCCGCTGCACGCTTCCTGGGGCTCTTGGCATCTAGGCAGGCATCCTTAGATGTGAGAGTAACAGCGGACGAGCCGTTGGACGACGTGTTGCCATTGGAGTTCTGATTATCAACAGTCAAGTACAAAGTACTGTCATGGCAGTTACTGTTATTGCTGTCCTGAGTCCCAGATGCAGAGCTGGGAGGGGAAGCGGAGTCACTCTTTGTCCGCAACCCTTTCTCTGGTCCTGGGGAACATTTCACAAAAAAGCTCGGCTCACTTGCAGCTCTGAATTTTACCATCTTCTCCTCTTTGGCTCCTCCAACATGCTTCTCTGCCCCAGACAAGGAATTATTGTCACTTCCAGTGTCAGACAACCCTTTGGCGTCCGCAGAGAGGGTTGGGGTCAACGTTGCAGCAGGTTTGACTGCAGGAGACTGGGGAGCTGCCGAATTCCCGCTCTGGGACAGCTGGGAATCGTCCAAAGCAGCTGCGACGCTCACGCCGGCAGAGGCTGGTCGCACACTGCTGTTGCTGCTGCTGCTGGGGGCCAGAGCGATGGCCGTCATCTTCACCACGTTGACAGAGCTGACGTGGGGAGAGGGCATCACGGTCTTTATGGGGCTGTTGGTGATGAGCAGCGTGGGGGGAGAGCGCAGGGTTATGGCACTCGTGGCAGAGGGCTTGGGAAGGATTTGGGCGTACCGCGTGCCATGTCGTGCCAGTCTGTCTCCCACGGGACTTGCTGGGACATTCTGGGGTGTTTTGGGAGACTGTTTGAGAGACTGAGTGACAACCTGGAAGTTTACAGGCAACACTTTTCCTTCCGCTGTCCCCACAGGGCTCGGTGAGGTCATCAACTGCCTGTTTCTCTGTACCTGAGGAACAAAACACCACTTATTGGTACACTTACACACATAATCCACGTCTCTGGAGTAGGGCTGTAACGATTCATCAAATGATTTGAGTGCTTTGATTCATAAAACGCCTTTAGGCTTCATTAGCGCACTGTATTCCGGCACGATGATCATCGGTGTTGCACAACGCTTTCATTTTTGACAAGTTTGTCACTGCAAAAACACCAAGTTTTCCCAAGTATTTTGGGTCTAGTTTCTAGTGCAAATATCTTAGAACACTTGAAATGAGAGAAACTAACTTAAAAGTAAGTTTTCACCAAGATTTGGCCAGTTGTTTTTAAGGAAATAATCTCTTAATATTGATGAAAAAGTACCAGTTACATTGGCAGGTTATTTCACTTATAACATGGAAACAATGTCTTGTAAGTGAGATAATCTGCCAATAAAACTAGCACTTTTTCATCAATATATGGGAATTATTTGCTTAAAAAAAGCCTCTATGTCTTGATAAAAAGTTACTTTTATGTTGATTTGGTCTCCTTTCAAGTGTAATAAGATATCTGCGCTAAAAACTACTTGGTAAGATTTGGTGTTTTTGCAGTGTGATGACTGAAAGATGAAAAATGGAGAAAAACTCAGGACATGTACCGGGACTGGGCTGGGGACGGCCGCTACTACGATTCCTATGGTTGGCTGAGGGGACAGCAGCGCAGGACTGCCACAGGGGATGGTGGGTCCGGGCGTACTGGCCTCCGTCCGCTTCACCTGCGTCTCACTGGGCAGTGGCGAGTGAAGCTTCTGCTCCTGCTGCTTCTTCTGGATTTTGCGCTGCAGTTGCTGCTTTGCGTCAACAGAGGGCGACGCCAGGGTCTTCACTTGGGGCTGGAAAGAGTTTGCCTCAGCAGTGGGAACGAATGCAGAGGCTGGAGTTGGGGTCTTCATTCCTGTCAAGGCAAGAACAGTTCAAGAAGAAGCTGTAGAGATCAGACACATTACTCTGGTCAAAATTTCATTTTCAGAAATTTGCTGAATGTCTTCCATGCTTCTGTCTCTGTTCATTTCCTGCCTGATCTGCTTCAAGTAAATAAAACCTGACTTTAATCTCAAAATTCTGACTTTTTCCACAAAACTTTGAATTTAAACTCCAAGAATTCTACTTCTGTGTCAATCGGTAAATGTCAAAATCCAAAACAAATTTCTTAGGTAAATGTCAATCATGTTGATAATATGTGGAAATAGTCACATATTTTACATGTATTGAAGATAAATAGATTATCTACTGTGAAAAAGTTTATGGTTGATGTTTGCAAGAGTTATAAATTTGGTGCCAAACTAAAAAACAAGTCAGATTTTGGATATGTCAGTAACACCTGCTTATTACAGTAAAAATGTATATATGCCTGACTCTTTCAACAATAACATTATCTGCTTTATTTGTTTTTGTTGCAAATAATAATAGAAGAGGATGTATAGCAAAAAGTTCATCTGTGAATTGCTTTATAAACATTGTGCATGCAGCAGCAACCATATGAAGTCATTAAAAGAATGTAAACCAGTCAGGCCGCTTTTCTTCTAGCATCGGCAGAGTGAGCATCCAACATACACAAACAGATACAATCCCGGCAGCAGGTGTCGTACCTGTGGGTGTTCCAGTCATAACAGTGAGAGCAGCCATGGACTTTGTACCAATGTAGTGACTGTTGAGCAGGAAGCGAGCCAGGTCCTCCACGCTGTCAAACTGACGGCTCAGCACCTTCTGCGCCCACTCACACACCAGCCCGCAGGCCGCGGACCTCATCTCATCCTCGGCGCTGGGAGACTGACCGCTCGACTCCATCAGCTCACACTGTCCAAACCGCAGCAGTCGGTTTAAGGATACTGAAACGGTTCAGGAAGGTTTGAGTGAAGCGAGATTTGTTGCAACTCACCCCGTCACCGGATTTCTGCAGATCCAGGTTGGGTAGGGATGGCATGTGAACGAAAGCTTTCTTTCTTAACCCGCTGTAGCAGTATCTGCGACGGAGTTAAGGATCAGAACAAGAATCCAAACCCAGGATGATTCTCTGATTATCTTGGCATCGGGAACCAAGATTACCAGGATGTCACAGACTTGAAACCACTATGAAATGTAGGGGGCACCGATACATTTCATATATATTTGTAATAGAACAACAGTAAATTGAAAAAAGTCATAATAATGTGAAAAAAGAAGTTGTAATAATGCAATATATATGTGTGTGTGTATATATATATATATATATATATATAGAGAGAGAGAGAGAGAGAGAGAGAGAGAGAGAGAGATGTATAAATAATAAATTATTTAGAATGAATAATAAAACAAATAAATATTAAATATATATATAATGAATTATGTAGAACAAATAAACATATATATTTTTTTGATAAATAAATAAAATATTGGTATTTTATTGATTTTCAAGAATAACTGACTTAAAACAAGTTCCTATAACTTGCTCAAAAGTTGCTAGTTTATGTTTTTTCAAGTGCAATAAGATATCTGCAACACAAACTACATCAAAAATACCAGGTAAGACTTTGTGTTTTTGCAGTGCACTGATCACTGTAAAAAAGCTGCTAATTACACCAATTAACTTTACAAAATCTAAAACTGGACATCTGCAATAAATAAACATTCACTCAGTGTTTGAACATCTTGATTTCATTGTAAGGATATTTTGATTTTCCCCTCATGCCCAGACGACGAGCCTTCATGTTGGGAAAGACATTCTTCATGATCTTCCCAAAGTCTGCTGCACTCAGTGGATTGTAGCCAAGATTGTCACAGTAGCTCCTGAACAAAACCAGACTGTGTTTTACATCGCTTCTCATTAAAACTAAATACATTTTCTGCGCATCTCTCTCTCTTCACCCACTTGTATTCGTCGTACACCTCTTGCTTGGGGAGGGACGTCTCCGGGTGCTCTTCCAGGTGATTGCGTATCCAGTTGAATGCATACATCTGTTGAGTACGGCTCGACGACATGGAACTCTGGTCACTGGAAAGGGGCCGAAACAAAAGAGAAATCTGGTGAGTGCGCCGAGTCCTGGACCGCTCTGCATCATTTTTCTTGCGAATACAGAAACTGTAATACCATAATCCAGCAGTAGAGGACCCCCTCTCATTCCCAGTCCAAATGGGCAGAATTTGGGGGTCGGGGTGATGAATAGATATGGGGAAACAAATGACACACAGACAGCTAGGTATAGAGCAGGAATCTAGAGATATTTCAGTGTTTTGGTTCATACTGATAATCAAAAATGATGCAGCAAAATAAATAAATAAATGTGGCGAATAGGAAATAAATCTGCCATTAAACTTGCTCAGCTTGATTTTAGCCAGTGAGCAGGGATTTGAATAGCTGGCAGAAATGACACACAGTTCAAAAATGTAAAAGAAATGGATAAAAAGGTTTCCCTGTGAGGAAGAAGCAAAGTGTTAAACTTCGGTTTGTTGTGTTTCCTACCTTTTATCACTGCCACTGCTGGGACCAGAAGGCAACTTAAGGTAGAGGTAGAGCTTTTCGATGTCTGTAAACTTCTCAACATCTTGCTGTAAAAAATGAAAACAACACAAAGGAGCGACGGTTTAAATAAACATGACATAAAAAATTACTTATTCCCGTTTGATTTGCTTCCAAATTTTTACAGAACCTGGAGAAATGTGGAGCATTTAAAGTAATTCAGAGAATTTGTATTTCCAGATTTTTATCGTTTAAGTTTTGTCCTTCCATTCGTTTTTCATTCTGTGGCCTTCCTCCCTTCCTCAGATACCTCCTTTCCCTTTTGTCCACTTTTCATTCTGTCCTTCAACATGTCCAGTCTTCCTTCCTTTATCCTTCTTTCTAATCATCTCCTCTTTCCTTCATTCCTTTTTCCCTTTCCTTCTTTCTGTGCCCTTCTTTCCTTTCTTGCTGATGATCTGTCCTTCCTTCCTCGTGTCCATTATTGTGCCCTCCCTTTCTTCCTTCCTCATTTTCCTTTTCTTTCTTACTTCCATTTTTCTTTTTCTTCCTTATGTCCCTCAATTTTTCCTCTTTTGTCCTTTGCTTCCTTCTTTCCTTCCTTCCTTATGCTCTTCATTGTGTCCTTCCTAGCTCAATTATCTATTTCCTTCCTTCATTCCCTGTTTCATTTTTCTTCCTTATGTCCTTAAATCTATCCCTCTCTCTTTTCTTGTGTCATTTCTTTCTGTCTTTTTCTCTGATTGTATATTTGAAGCATGGCAAACTGGAAAAGTCAGTTTTTCTGTAAACATTGGTTTATTTACCTGTTCAGAACATTAAATTTAGTGTGTTGTGTTTATACAAATCAAAATGTCATCTAAAATAAAACAGGACCAATTTTTACATCAAATCAGTTTCAAACAATCTAATTATACACAGATTCTGGTGTGATCTAAAGTATACTGCTCAAATAAAGGAAACATTTCACTTTAATTTTGTGTGTGGCTCCAAATCCAGGCCTCCATTGGTTAATAAATTTGATTTCCATTGATGGTTTTTGTGTGATTTTGTTGTCAGCACATTCAACTTTGTACAGAACAAAGTATTCAATGAGAATATTTCATTCATTCAGATCTAGGATGTGTTATTTGAGTGTTCCCTTTATTTTTTTTGAGCAGTGTATATTACAGCGCAGTCAAATTAAATCTGTTTAAGGAAATGTCAAGGTGATTCTAAGGTAAATTTACTGTAAATATACCATCCAGCTGCTTTAGTGTTTAAATATCAGCGACAGAAAAATACTCAAGACTGCAGAACCATCCGAGTACTCCGACTGGCCTTCAGCTGGATTTCTAAGAATGGATTCATTTCGCCTCTCACTCGTCTGTTTGCCTCTTTGTTGCCATGACAACCCAAATGAACAAGCCGTCAGCCAATCAGACGCCACGGAAAACGCCGTTTACTACGAGTCGCACATCCTGTTTGGATACGACAGCAGGCCTCGGTTATAAATTACTAAAACAAAAGGCTTCATGGGCAGATTAAAAAGTTTAAGTTTGTGGGAGAAACTTAAACTTTTATTTTCAATTCAACCAGTTAAAACCATTGAAATATCGCTGAATGTATGAAGCAATATTCCTGGAAATATCTCTTAAAATTCTGTTAAAGGGAACAAAGAAATATTTACTGGATCGTATTTGAAAGGATATATTCTTCCTTCCTTTCTTTCTAAATTGTGACCGTTAATGTTTTACTTCTGACAAAGTATTTTAAGTATACAAGGAATGAAGGATGCACAGATAGACGTAAGAGAGGATACAACAAAACATAGACGGAAGGAAAAACAGAAAAAAGACAAGTAGGACACAAAGGTTAAGGAAGAGAAATAAGGAAATGAAAAACAGGAAAAAGGAAGGACGTAAGGGAGAGAGGAAGCGAAGGAAGGACACAAAGATGGAAGGAGGGATGCAAGAAATGAAGAACACAAGGAAGAAGGGAATAACATATAAAAGGAAAGACGGAAAACAAAAGGAATGAAAGTAAGGACACAAAAATTAGGAATAAAGTCTGACAATGCAAACTTGTTTTTTAAAACCTTGTTTCCTTTTCTCCATTTTTTTCCAAACCAGAAAAATAAATCAGATTAAATAATTTTCCAGATTGTGTCGGAACGGCGTTTCTTCCACTTCTGAAAGAAACATGAACGCATTCATATATTAGAGATGTTTTATTTATTTTAGTCCAGGAAACAAAAGACAGAATCCGCCTCTTCCACGTCTCAATTCATAATCGCGTCATTCGAGTCGCGTTTGATGTTTTCGCATCAGAGGAGCCAAGCGGTGGATCAGGTTTTAGGAGTAACAGAACGGAGGGTTGCCAAACTCTACNAACAAGTTCCTATAACTTGCTCAAAAGTTGCTAGTTTATGTTTTTTCAAGTGCAATAAGATATCTGCAACACAAACTACATCAAAAATACCAGGTAAGACTTTGTGTTTTTGCAGTGCACTGATCACTGTAAAAAAGCTGCTAATTACACCAATTAACTTTACAAAATCTAAAACTGGACATCTGCAATAAATAAACATTCACTCAGTGTTTGAACATCTTGATTTCATTGTAAGGATATTTTGATTTTCCCCTCATGCCCAGACGACGAGCCTTCATGTTGGGAAAGACATTCTTCATGATCTTCCCAAAGTCTGCTGCACTCAGTGGATTGTAGCCAAGATTGTCACAGTAGCTCCTGAACAAAACCAGACTGTGTTTTACATCGCTTCTCATTAAAACTAAATACATTTTCTGCGCATCTCTCTCTCTTCACCCACTTGTATTCGTCGTACACCTCTTGCTTGGGGAGGGACGTCTCCGGGTGCTCTTCCAGGTGATTGCGTATCCAGTTGAATGCATACATCTGTTGAGTACGGCTCGACGACATGGAACTCTGGTCACTGGAAAGGGGCCGAAACAAAAGAGAAATCTGGTGAGTGCGCCGAGTCCTGGACCGCTCTGCATCATTTTTCTTGCGAATACAGAAACTGTAATACCATAATCCAGCAGTAGAGGACCCCCTCTCATTCCCAGTCCAAATGGGCAGAATTTGGGGGTCGGGGTGATGAATAGATATGGGGAAACAAATGACACACAGACAGCTAGGTATAGAGCAGGAATCTAGAGATATTTCAGTGTTTTGGTTCATACTGATAATCAAAAATGATGCAGCAAAATAAATAAATAAATGTGGCGAATAGGAAATAAATCTGCCATTAAACTTGCTCAGCTTGATTTTAGCCAGTGAGCAGGGATTTGAATAGCTGGCAGAAATGACACACAGTTCAAAAATGTAAAAGAAATGGATAAAAAGGTTTCCCTGTGAGGAAGAAGCAAAGTGTTAAACTTCGGTTTGTTGTGTTTCCTACCTTTTATCACTGCCACTGCTGGGACCAGAAGGCAACTTAAGGTAGAGGTAGAGCTTTTCGATGTCTGTAAACTTCTCAACATCTTGCTGTAAAAAATGAAAACAACACAAAGGAGCGACGGTTTAAATAAACATGACATAAAAAATTACTTATTCCCGTTTGATTTGCTTCCAAATTTTTACAGAACCTGGAGAAATGTGGAGCATTTAAAGTAATTCAGAGAATTTGTATTTCCAGATTTTTATCGTTTAAGTTTTGTCCTTCCATTCGTTTTTCATTCTGTGGCCTTCCTCCCTTCCTCAGATACCTCCTTTCCCTTTTGTCCACTTTTCATTCTGTCCTTCAACATGTCCAGTCTTCCTTCCTTTATCCTTCTTTCTAATCATCTCCTCTTTCCTTCATTCCTTTTTCCCTTTCCTTCTTTCTGTGCCCTTCTTTCCTTTCTTGCTGATGATCTGTCCTTCCTTCCTCGTGTCCATTATTGTGCCCTCCCTTTCTTCCTTCCTCATTTTCCTTTTCTTTCTTACTTCCATTTTTCTTTTTCTTCCTTATGTCCCTCAATTTTTCCTCTTTTGTCCTTTGCTTCCTTCTTTCCTTCCTTCCTTATGCTCTTCATTGTGTCCTTCCTAGCTCAATTATCTATTTCCTTCCTTCATTCCCTGTTTCATTTTTCTTCCTTATGTCCTTAAATCTATCCCTCTCTCTTTTCTTGTGTCATTTCTTTCTGTCTTTTTCTCTGATTGTATATTTGAAGCATGGCAAACTGGAAAAGTCAGTTTTTCTGTAAACATTGGTTTATTTACCTGTTCAGAACATTAAATTTAGTGTGTTGTGTTTATACAAATCAAAATGTCATCTAAAATAAAACAGGACCAATTTTTACATCAAATCAGTTTCAAACAATCTAATTATACACAGATTCTGGTGTGATCTAAAGTATACTGCTCAAATAAAGGAAACATTTCACTTTAATTTTGTGTGTGGCTCCAAATCCAGGCCTCCATTGGTTAATAAATTTGATTTCCATTGATGGTTTTTGTGTGATTTTGTTGTCAGCACATTCAACTTTGTACAGAACAAAGTATTCAATGAGAATATTTCATTCATTCAGATCTAGGATGTGTTATTTGAGTGTTCCCTTTATTTTTTTTGAGCAGTGTATATTACAGCGCAGTCAAATTAAATCTGTTTAAGGAAATGTCAAGGTGATTCTAAGGTAAATTTACTGTAAATATACCATCCAGCTGCTTTAGTGTTTAAATATCAGCGACAGAAAAATACTCAAGACTGCAGAACCATCCGAGTACTCCGACTGGCCTTCAGCTGGATTTCTAAGAATGGATTCATTTCGCCTCTCACTCGTCTGTTTGCCTCTTTGTTGCCATGACAACCCAAATGAACAAGCCGTCAGCCAATCAGACGCCACGGAAAACGCCGTTTACTACGAGTCGCACATCCTGTTTGGATACGACAGCAGGCCTCGGTTATAAATTACTAAAACAAAAGGCTTCATGGGCAGATTAAAAAGTTTAAGTTTGTGGGAGAAACTTAAACTTTTATTTTCAAGTCAAGCAGTTAAAACCATTGAAATATCGCTGAATGTATGAAGCAATATTCCTGGAAATATCTCTTAAAATTCTGTTAAAGGGAACAAAGAAATATTTACTGGATCGTATTTGAAAGGATATATTCTTCCTTCCTTTCTTTCTAAATTGTGACCGTTAATGTTTTACTTCTGACAAAGTATTTTAAGTATACAAGGAATGAAGGATGCACAGATAGACGTAAGAGAGGATACAACAAAACATAGACGGAAGGAAAAACAGAAAAAAGACAAGTAGGACACAAAGGTTAAGGAAGAGAAATAAGGAAATGAAAAACAGGAAAAAGGAAGGACGTAAGGGAGAGAGGAAGCGAAGGAAGGACACAAAGATGGAAGGAGGGATGCAAGAAATGAAGAACACAAGGAAGAAGGGAATAACATATAAAAGGAAAGACGGAAAACAAAAGGAATGAAAGTAATGACACAAAAATTAGGAATAAAGTCTGACAATGCAAACTTGTTTTTTAAAACCTTGTTTCCTTTTCTCCATTTTTTTCCAAACCAGAAAAATAAATCAGATTAAATAATTTTCCAGATTGTGTCGGAACGGCGTTTCTTCCACTTCTGAAAGAAACATGAACGCATTCATATATTAGAGATGTTTTATTTATTTTAGTCCAGGAAACAAAAGACAGAATCCGCCTCTTCCACGTCTCAATTCATAATCGCGTCATTCGAGTCGCGTTTGATGTTTTCGCATCAGAGGAGCCAAGCGGTGGATCAGGTTTTAGGAGTAACAGAACGGAGGGTTGCCAAACTCTACGCACATCGCTCAAAATTAAAATACTTTCTATTTTATTTGTGCGACAAAAAAAATAGACAAAGCGTGATCATGTCGCTTTGATGTCACCGTTCCTGCTTTGTACAGAAAAACATCTGTGATCCACTTCAGCTGCAACAAATCCAAACCTAAATGTTCACAAATGGAGCCAGTAGAGGATTTTTCTGACTAGAAAACCTGAAAATAAACCTGCAAACGTTCATAAACAAATACGCAGAAACAGAAAGCGTCAAAAAATTTCAAATAAAAATAACTTTTATGCAATGTATAAAATATATTTGAAGATTTATACATATAAAGAGTGCACATTTGTAAAATACTGCAAAATTAGTTTAATAAGTTGATGCAAAACATTAATACATAAATTGTGTTCATTTATTCAAATAAATCTGATAAAATAATGAAGTTTAACTTTTATACTTTTATTCATAAAATTTTAAATCAAATTAAAAAATTTTAATTTTATGTAATTAAGCAAAATGTATTTATGTAAATGTATTTTAGGAGTGTTAGAACAGAGGGCTGCCAAACTCTACACACATAGGTGGAAATTAAAATACTTTTATTTTATTAATTATTAATGTATTAATTTTGTATTTATTCTAATAAATAATTAATTATTTACTAGAATTCATAAATAAATATTTATTTGATAAATAAATGTGTTATTTGAAGAAAGAAATGTATTTATTCTTTTGAATAAATACAATATATTATAAATAAAATTTATTTGAATTAGATTTTTTAATAAAATAAAATAATAATTATAATAATAATAATTTTTCAATAAGTTAGCTTATTTGAAAAACTGCAATAAACATCAACATGTAAGGGTTAGTATAATAGTATAATGTAATATTTGTTAGTGATGTAAAATGATGAGATATTAAAGGAGTTGGGGGTCCAGATACTTACCAATATACTGTCCACTTTTGATTGTACAGATTTGCTACAATGAGAAAGAAAAGAATATCAGAACAATTTGCATCACAATCACTTTAATTTATTACAATATTTCATGTATCTCTTCTTTTTGCTCTTTTGTAAACATTTTCTTATTCCTTCCAGCTTTGAATGCTGTGAAGCTGTGCTCTGTGATGTGTAACTATGGCAACAGGTTGTTGTTTTTACAAATGAGAGCAGTTAACTAGCATCTCAGACGCTCAAGTCATGCCTAAACTAGACTGTTAGCACGTCATGACATGCTAGCAGTCTTCGGTCAGAGGCCTCTTCAGAATTGTTGCAAGACTGACTGCTACTGGAGATCCCTCCTGCCTGCAGCTTCACCATTTATGATGACTCTGAAGATATTTGGATGATATGAGCTACGACAACATTTAGTTTCCTTTTGGGAGTTTTTTTTTTATATATAGAATTGAAATCAGCTTTGAAGACTTAAAAGTTTTGAATGGAGCTGCTGAAAAACTTTAAAGACAAGATCAAAATGAAGAGGAGCAGTGAGGACATCAGGATATCGGAAAAATTTGAAAAAAGAAGGAAGCGTGAGGAAAAATGGGGTGTTATTGTTGTTAAAATAATCAACAATCATCATGTAGTGAAATATTTTTTTTTAAATCTGTACAGTGGATATCAAAAACTGCTTTGCAAATAGAAAGTTATTTTATTGCTTTCATTCATCAAAGGATGATGAATATTTAAAGAAATGAAGGGAAACATAATATGGGTGGGCAATATGGATTTAAGACTTAATCACGTTATTTTGTGGCACTATTGTGATAATAAGGATTATGATAAAAAAAAAACTACTTATTACTTAATTTTATAGGTAACTGAAAGGGTGTGACAGCATGACAGCCTTGATATTGAACAAATATTGTTCTTGAAAAAATATTTCCATTTACAATTGGCTTCTTCACTACATCACTTACTTAAAAAGGTGATTTATATCAGTAAACTGCACAGAGTAACTGCATTTAATCATACTTTTAATGTACTGATATTAATTGATGCTTCTGGGGAACAGGCAGTTTAGAAAATAACAAAAACAACATTTCCGATCATAAGAAAAACAAAAACAAAACAGTTTTGTTTTGTCAATAAGTGAAATTTATCTTGACAGTAAATTTAAATTCTTATAAGAATTTTTTCACAATAATTGATAATACTATAATACAATATTGTATTGTTTATCTAAGATCACCAACAACAACAAATCTCTTTTCATACCACGAACCCAACTAAATGATAAACGATTTAACATATAGTTTATCATTTATTGAGATAAATTTCTTATTACAATAATTTTGATTTATTGTTGTCACATTGTATCCCAGATGAAGATGTTTAAACCCCCATAACATTGTCTGTATTGTTAGTTTTACTATTTTTTTCCACTGTTTATTCACTAAAAGCATCAATAACTGAAAATAAAACTGAAAATATAATTAAATGCAGTTACGATTTGCAATTTAATAATACCATATCACATTCTTGATGTGATTGGTGTCCTATGGAAGCATATTACAAATGGAAATGTTCTTCAACAGCAGGTTTTTGGGTTTTGGAGGGTACAATTTTTGTAACACAGTTGCAGCCATAGAGTTACTTGAAACAGTAACAATAAATACTTCCTATGGTCACTTTTATCGTTGACACAATTAGGGGAGCACCGATAAATCCACCGACCAATAAATCGGTCCCAATTTTCTTAATTTTAGGAGTATGGTGATAGGCTGATAATCTGCTAGATGATAAATTGTCCCAAAAGTTATTTCGATAAATGATAATATTGTTACTTTATATAATATTATAACATTGTTATTACCATTTTCAAGTAATATAATGGTAATGTCATAAATAATGCAAGAACACATTCTCAGAGATCAATAAACTTTCAATTCTAATGAACATTTAACATTGGAACTGGAAGACATTTAAATATCCAAAATAAATAAACAAAACAACAGAAACAAGATATAAAATCTCTGTAAATAAAATTGTCCTTCGGTTAGTTGAGTTGAGCCCATCAGACTGAAGATTTTTTCAATAAATCATCCAAATGGAAATTATTGAACTCATGCGGTTAATTGATTTATTGCGACAAGCTGCAATCGGTGCACCCCTAATCACAAAATATCACGATAAACTTTAAATATCCATATCGACCATCCCTACCTTAAACTATCACTTTGTTTATTAACTACTTACTGAATTAAAATTACATATATACATAGAGATTGTTTTTAAAAGCATTCTATTTGGGTATTCAGTTGTGTATGTTGCACAGCAGAAATCAGGCTAAACATGTTTAAAGCAAGCACATCGTCTGATAATTACAAATATAATGTGCAGGCATGTGTGCAGCATGGTGAAAACCAGAGTCTGTGCAGCATTCTGCTTTGACACCTGTCATCATCCTGAGCATCAGCACCACCGGTGGGGTTGGTGTCATCTATTATAACATGGCCTCCTATGGCTCCATGCTAATGATCAGAGCTGCTACCAGTCCGCCTCTGCCGTCTTATTACCGCATCACCCCGAACCCGGACACCGTCTCCGGATCCCTGCATGCGTGTTCCGGTGAAGAAACCGAGGCTAGCTCGGGGAAACGCGTGTTATTCTCGGCCGCTTTGTGCAGACCACTGCCTCCCTACCTCTACCATGGTCAGATACGATGATTGTGAGGCTAGCTTTTGATGGATCAGCACCATCCTTACCAAATTGAATTCTTTATTTTGAACTGCAACGCGTTGGCCTCGGGCCCTTGGAGTCCTGGCACCAGCGCTGGAAGAGAACCTAATCCCGAGGCAGGCTTCTGACCAGGTTGTTGTTGATCATCAGCCATCGCGACGGTGGGGTGGTGGGGGAGCTTTAACAAGTAGGCCTCATTCCCCGGCTGTGCACTGCACCCGGACCCACCGCTGCCGGAGCGGCTCAGTCAGCTAGGACAGCCCCGCCGGACCCAGCGCAGAGCATGGCTACAAAAACACTGTGATAGGACCCCTCACGAAACCAAAAAAAAAAAAAAAAAA